GAGAGAGAGAGAGAGAGAGAGAGAGAGAGGCACAGTGCATGCTATGTCATGCAATGTTTTCCCTTGTTTTTCCATAAAACGAAAGGATTTGTTACTGACTCCGCCAGGGCTCGATCCCTGGTCCGCGGGGTACCACCTGCCAGCCTGCTATTTTATATTTTTTTGATTTCCTGCTCTTCGGTTTCTGACTGTTGGCGCCCTCTGCAGTTGGCGCCCGTTTTCAAATCCCTCCTTCGGCACTTTCAGATTTCGACACTTGGCGCCATCTGACATTCTGGCGCCGAGACTCAGACTTTCAATTCTCAGTTCAGTCCTGAGGCAATGGCACTTCTGCCCTCCGGATTGAACTTGAGTCCGGTACTTAAGACTGGACTCAAGCCCAGTACGGGCATTCAGTTTTCGGCCTCAGTGCTTGTGCTTCAGTGTGACTTGCTTCGACATTGTGTTCTGAAATCCAAGACTGCGACTTTGTGACTTTGCCACTTTGTGTCTGCGTCCGTCGAGTCGTGTCGAGTCTGCGCCGAGTTGAGTGAGTGTGTGTGTGTGCTCTCACTCTCCCTCTCTCTCTGCCTCTGCCTCGTCACAGTGGTATCGGAGCGGCTTCGGCCCTCCCTCCCGCCCTGTTCCATCATCGTCGCCGTCGTTGCCACATGATCGTCGTCGCCGTCGTTGCCACATCATCGCCATCGTTGTCATCTTCGTCGTCGTCATCGCTGCCACGGCAGCGCCTCGTACCTGCCGTCGTTGCCATTGCCACGTCAGCACCTCGCCGCCTCCCTCGTCACTGCTGCAACGCCACCGATCCCGAAGCCGATGCGCAGGTAAGTGACCAATAAACTTTTTTTTTTTTCCCCTTCTCCCGCCCATTTCTTCTTCTTCTTTCCCTCGTCATCGTCGTCATCGCCTCCTTTCCTCCTCCTTCCTCCTCCTCCTTTCCTCCCTCGATTCTTGTTCTTTCTCATCCTCTTCAACCCTCCTTCTCCCCCGTTCGGACATTCAGTTTTCGGCCTCAGTGCTTGTGCTTCAGTGTGACTTGGTTCGACATTGTGTTCGGAAATCCAAGACTGCGACTTTGCCACTTTGCCACTTTGTGTCTGCGTCCGTCGAGTCGTGTCGAGTCTGCACCGAGTTGAGTGAGTGTGTGTGTGTGCTCTCACTCTCCCTCTCTCTCTGCCTCTGCCTCGTCACAGTGGTATGTCAGGACCTCGCTGCCTCCCTCGTCGCTGCTGCTACACCACCGATCCCGAAGCCGATGCGCAGGTAAGTGACCAATAAACTTTTTTTTTTTTTCTTCTCCCCCCCATTTCTTCTTCTTCTTTCCCTCGTCGTCGTCGTCATCGCTTCCTTTCCTTCCTCCTCCTCCTTTCCTCCCTCGATTCTTGTTCTTTCTCATCCTCTTCAACCCTCCTTCCCCCCCGTTCTTCTTCCTTCTCCTCGTCGTCGTCGTCATCCCTCCTCCTCCTTCGTCTTCTTCTTCCTCGTCTTCATTCCCCCTTCCTCCCACACGCCATCTCCACCTCTCTCCCAAGCGCTATTCCCCCCCGCTGCCTACCCAATCCCACTCCCTGCCCTCCCGCAACTTCGCGATCCCCCGCGCAGAACCCCCCCGCTTCCCCCACCTTCTTCCCACCTTCTCGATCCCACTTCCCCCACCTTCGTTCTGCCTCCGCGATCCTGACCCCGCTCATGCTTCCCCCACCTTCTTCCCACCTCCCGCGCGATACCCCGTGCACCTCTCTCCCCGCGCGTCGCTACCTCCAGCCCGCGCGCTTCTCCCCCCACGTGATCTTTTCCCCCCCGTTGCTCCCCTCCTCGACATCCTTCCTCCCACACGCAACCCGCGCGCGACTTCCCCCCCCCCACGTTTCCCCCCTGCCATCATCATCATCATCATCATCATCATCATCATCATCATCATCAATCTACCTGTACGCTACCTACCACGCTACCACCCATTCAACCGTAGATAGGATTGTTCCGCCCTCGATTTACATCAAAACTCATTTATTCCTTCGTTTATTATTATTATTATTATTTTATTTTTTTCCTAGAATTCATTTTAAAATTTTTGAAAATTCGAAAATACTTCATCAACTATCTATCTCGACATTTCTTTCTCAAAATTATTATTTTTTTCAAAATTTTCGAAAATATATAGGAGTAAGCATTCTTTCTCAGCATTGCATCTTCGAAATTCGAAAATCATTTTAGTTAATTCTTTTTCGAAATTCTTGTAATTCAAAAATATTTTAGAATTAATTCTTTTTTGAAAGTTTTGAAAATACGTTAGAATCTAGGCTACCAGAGTGGACCGGGTCCACTTGCCCGGCCGCGCAAAAATGAAATAAAAAAAAAAAAAAAAAAAAAAAAACAATTGAATTAAAAATTTTAATGTAAATTTGGTAAAGAATTTCAATGTGACCCTGAGGCAAAACTTGTTCAGTTTATTTTTCTGCATAACATAGTTTTTTTTCGGATTTTTTGGATTTTTTTTTTTTTTTTTTTTGGCTGGGACCTTCCTTGGTCCTTGCACGGCCGCACTGCATGGGAAAATAGAGTGACCCGGGCGGCCCGACTGGTAACTTAGGTTAGAATTAATAAAATTCTTTTTCGATATTTCTTTTGGAAATTCAAAAATAATTCTAATTAATTATTTTTCTCAGTATATTTTAATTCACATATTCCTTTTTGTAATTTTTGTTGAAATTCAAAAAATTCTTTTTCGCAATTCTTTTTCGAAATTGTCTTTTTAGAAGTACGTCCTTTTTTTTTTTTCCTTTTTTTTCTCTGAACTCCTTAATTAATTTCGAGTAAACTTGATTAATTCATGACTGAATTAATCTCTTTTACTGGGAATTAATCACCCCTTTTTGAAATTATACAATTTTACCCCGAACGCAAATCCGATTAAATTTCATCAGAATTTATTTTTGTCGGAATTAAGTATTCTTATTTTTTCTTCATTTGGAAATTCCTCAAAAATCCACTTTCGTATTTTCTTAAAAAACACACTTTCGAATTAATTTTGAATAAATTCAAATTAATTTATTCAAAATTAATTTTTGCTCTGCGATTCTCTGCTACCTTCATTGCTAAATCACTTGACGATGCTCTATTCTTGTACATAGGTATTGTCCCCCCCATCTCCACATGCCACCACGCCAAACCAAAACCTCCCAACGCGCCGCCGCCGACGCCGCCAGCGCTGCGGCTATCAAATCAAGACCTCCCAACGCACCGCCACCGACGTCGCCAACGCTGCTGCTATCACATCCGCTGCTACCGCCTCCACTTCCACTCCGACCACGTCATCCACCCCGTCTTCCCCCACCATGTCTGATCTTCGTTCCGACTCTTTGCCCGTGAATCCGCAGGAGATCAGCCAACTTCAACGACCACCACCCCGGAACTCGCAACTATCCTCCAAACGTTGACCGCCCTCAAATCCTCCCTCGCCACCATCAACACCACCATGGCCGCCATCTCCGATTGTGTCACCACGCTCGAGGGAAACTCCCCCGCCATCACAGTCGTCACCACCACCACACCCCCCCTCCGGACAAGCCTCCGCTTCAACCTCCACACCAACACCGTCCACGTGTACACCCCCACCCTCATCCACCACTACCTCCACCATGGTCGCTCCACCTCCCCCCTCACCCAAGACGACAACCCCTGCCGTCACACAATCATCAACCGTCCCCTCCCAATCGAAACCGCTCTTATCCACCTCCACTATTACCTCAACCATCCCCAACTATACCCAGATCATTCCACAAGTTGTGTATCCCGCTCCTCCACTACTTACCCCAAATGCTCTCATCCCCACCAACCCCGCCAATGATTTCACCCTGTTCGACTCTCCCTCTCCCACCCTTGATTTTAATACCCTTGCCACCATTAACCCTAGAGAAGGAAAAATCCCCCCATCATTCCGCGTCAACGAAATCCCCACCTTCTCGAGCCAACCCCATGGGGATGTCCTCCTCTTTCTCACCAAACTCCAACAAGCCTTCTCCCTCCACTCCATCCTGTCATGCACTGGCTCTCCATTGCTGGCGGCCGACTTCTAGACAACGCTGCTCGCTGGTGGTACACCGAAATGTCTAATCGCCATCACGCCAGTCTTCGGCCTCACACCTTCCTTGAGTGGGCCACCCTCATCACCTCCACCTTCCGCCCACAGAAAACGGTCGACGACTATATCGACCAATTCTGTCGGCTCCAACAAAACGGACCAACCGACCATTTTGTGCAATACGTCCGTCAACATATCCCCTTTGACGTCGTCATCGATTTCACTTTCATCTCCCGCGTTAAGCGCGTTTACCGCAAAGACCTAGCAGCCGCCCTTGTCCACGAGCCCCCCATGACCCTCGCCGACCTCCTCACTCGTACCCTCCAACTCGACCGCATCCTCTCCCCCTATAAGACCGCACTTACATCGGCCCCTCCCCGCCCTCGCTTCTTCCATAACATCGCCTCCGAGGACACCACCTCCACCACCTCCTCGGACGAGTTCACCTCCCACAACCTTGATACCCTCTCCGATCCACCACCACCTCCTCGGACGAGTTCACCTCCCCCGGCCTTGACACCCTCTCCGATCCACTAGACAGCACATCACTCTCCCCCGACGAACTCTCTGCCATTCACCTCATGCGAATGGAAAAGAGAGATCGCTCCAGCCGCCATTCCCCGACCATCCCCCCGGGCCGCCTCAAGAAACTCACACCCGAGGAAAGAGCGTACCTTTAGGCAAAGGGTGGATGTTTTCGTTGTCGCCAGTTAGGACACCAACAAACTAACTGCCCCAATGTTGGACAGTTCACCCGCCAATCCTCGGCCCCTCGACCCGCAACCTCCGCGTCACCCCCCTCCGCAAGCGTGGGTCCCTCCTTGTCCTGAACAAAGTCCCAGGACCTCGTCCCGACATCGACAACTCGTCTGCCAGCCAACCCGTCGGTGACATCTCCCGTCCCACCGGTCCATTTGGCATCGACAATCCGTCTGCCTCCCCCCTTCCCCGACGACACCCTCTCCATCGGATAACCCCGAGGCGTGGCAACCTTCATCACTTGAGACGCCTCCCACTGCTTCGTGCTCCTCCACCCTCCTTCCAAATCCATCCTCTGTCACCTTCTCCGATGTTGTTGAGGAACAGGCTCGACTCGATCGGCTTGTCCGGTTAGGCAACGATTAATGTCGCCTCAACAACATTGTCTCCACCGCCAACTCCACCTCAAATTCATCACCGTCACCCTTGGTGCATCTACCACTAAGTTCTGGGCCCTCCTCGACACCGGTAACTTCATCACCGACGCGTGTGTCCGGAAAGCCGGTCTTACCTTTACCAGTTACGACTCCCCGATTACGACCCGTCTAGGGGACAAAGACACCGCCGTCGTAGTGGACCGCACGGTTCTTGAGACCACCATGACAGTAGGAACCCTCCGCAGTCGGGTCTCATTTGATGTCATGCATTTGATGTGCGACATCGTCTTAGGAACACCGTGGCTGGAGCGCTACATGCCATACGCATTCCACCCCAACTTCCTCTGCCTCACTAACCCCCCCGACACAACCATCGGCATTCCCTATCTCCCATATCCGACCTCCCAAGGCTCCATCACCCCACGTCAATTCCTCCACATGGCCAGCATGAACCCCGACTCCGCCTACTATTGCCTTGTCCTTGACCGCGAAAGTCCCGAGGACCTACTCCCAACGGACAAACCCGATCAAGCCCCCCCCTCTGACCCCGTCCTCACCTCTACCCTCGACAAGTTCAAAGATGTCTTCCCTGAGTCCCAGCCTGTCGGATTACCTCCGGATCGTGGCGCATCCCATACCATCAATTTGGAGCTCGGGTATTCTCCACCTTGCCGCCCTCCATACCAACTCTCGGTCCCCGGAGCCGAAGAAATGAAGCGTCAACTCAATGAGCTCCTTGAAAATGGGTTCATTAAGCTGAGTTCATCTACCTTCGGTACTAGCTGCCTTTTTGTAAAGAAACGTGGAACTTTGGAACTCCGTATGTGCACAAACTACTACGCCTTGAACCGGATCATGATCAAGAACAAGTACCCCTTACCTCGGATCTCCAAGCTCCTTGATCGACTTCGTGGAGCCAAATATTTCACCAAGATTGACCTTCGCAATGGCTTCCACCAGATCCGTATCCGCGAGGAGGACACCCATAAGACCGCATTCCGCCCTCGGTTCGGGCACTATGAGTTCCTTATAATGCCTTTCGGACTCACCAATGCCCCCGCCACATTCCAGTCCACCATGAATCACATCTTTCGTGACCTCCTCGAAGTCTGTGTCGTCGTGTACCTTGATGACATCCTCATCTTTAGCCCCACCTTCGAGTCCCACCTCCAGCATCTTCGCCAAGTCCTCTCGATCCTCCGAGAGCAAAAATTCTTCGCGAAGCTCAACAAATGTATGTTTTTGCCGCTTCGAGCGTCGAATACCTCGGCCACATTATCTCCGCTGAAGGCATCCGTATGAACACCTCGAAGGTCACAGCCCTCGTCGAGTACCCCCCGCCCAAGACCCTCCTCCAACTCCGTTCCTTCCTCGGCCTTGCCAACTATTACCGCCCGTTCATTCGGAACTTTTCCGAGATCTCTTACCCCCTCCACGAACTCACACGCAAGGACGAGCCCTTCAATTGGAACGATCGCCGCCAACACGCTTTTGACTTACTCAAGCAACCATCACCACGGCCCCCGTCCTCGAGATCGCCGACCCCACTCGCCATTTCTATGTCACTAGTGACGCCTCCGACTTCGCCATTGGATTCGTACTGTCCCAACATTTTCCCCGTGACACTGTCGAGACCCCGTCCATCAAGGACTCGCCCACTCACCCCGAGGCTCCACCTGGCGAAAACCCCATCGCCTTCGCAAGCAAGAAGCTCCTTCCCGTGGAGATGAATTACCCCTCCAACAAGAAAGAACTCCTCGCCGCGATTCAGGCCCTCACAGTGTGGCGCCCGTACCTCGACTTGCAATACTTCACCATCGCACTAACAACACCATCGTCTCCTCCATCCTCTCCAAGAAAGATATCACTCCACACCAAGCCCGCTGGCTAGACTTCCTCGCCGAGTTCACATTCACCATTTGCCATACCCCCGACAAAAGCAACCGCGTTGCGGATGCCCTCTCTCGACAACCTGACCACAAGCCCCCTGAGAAAGTCTACGCCACCATGACTCATATCCAACTCCTCCCATCACTCCATCACCGATACACCCAAGGCTACCCCTACCACAAGCTCCTCGATCTTGAGCCAATCCCCAACTACTCCCTTCGCGACAACCTTCTCTACATCGATACCAAAGGCACTCGTCGACTTTGCATCCCTGACACACGTGGTCTCCGTACTCAGCTCTTGGCCGAGCACCACGATGCCACGTGGTCCGTACTCAGCTCTTTGCCGAGCACCACGGTTTCCAGAAAACTTTCAACACCATCTCCCGCTACTTCGACTGGCCTTCCCTGCTCGCCGACGTCAAAGCATACATTCTCTCATGCCCCACTTGTCAAGCTGTCAACCCCTCAAAGCGGGCCAAACCCGACAAGCTCCAATCATTGCCCATCCCAACTCACTGTCGGCAGTCCATCTCCATGGACTTTGTGTGCGGCATCCCCAAGACCGACCGCGGGCATGATTGCACCTACGTCATTGTCTGTCGCTTGACCAAATGTGCCCACTTCATTCCTTCCACGACTTCGCACAGTGCCAAAGACGTCGCCACCCTCTTCTTCGATCATGCCGCACGCCATCATGGCCCCCCAGAACATCATCAGTGACCGTGATCCCCGCTTCCTCTCACAATTCTGGATCCACGCTGAAGCATAGCACTGCATTCCACCCCCAGACCGATGGACAAACCGAGAAGATGAACGATACTCTCCAAAGAATCCTGCGTAAGTATTGTCATCCACACCAACACGACTGGGACCAGTTGCTGACTGCCGCCGAGATCACCTATAACAATGTCGTCTGCCCTTCCACTGGCGTGTCCCCGTTCTACCTCGACCTTGGCTACCATCCTCGCGTGCCCTCCGACTTCCTGCTTCCCTCGCAGCTCAACCCCTCCACACCCTGCCCTTCCCTCAATGAATGGGTAGCAACAATGAATCGACTCCTCAGAGAAGCAACCGAAGCCCTTGAAAGAACACAAGAACAACAAGCAAACAAGATTAACAAACACAGACGAGACTTGCAATTCAAAGTAGGGGACAAAGTCTGGCTCTCCGCCAAACGCTTTGAACCCGAACATGGATTGTCAAAGAAACTCTCGAACAAATGGCTCGGACCCTTCCCCATCATTGAAAAAACCTCTTACGTCAACTACAAACTCCCAACTCCCCCTTGACATGAGTTGTGTCCACCTTGTCTTCGACATAGAATACCTAAAAGAATATCATGAATCCCCACCTCAATTCGTTGACCGATCTTACCCCCGACCTCCACCAATCATGCTTCCCACAGGCTCGGAATTCGTAGTAGAATCCATCATAGGATGACGAACTACACAGGTATCAGACCATCCGGAACCTATCACAGAATACAAAGTCAAATGGACCGGATACCCCGATGAACCTCTTTCTAAAGAACGCTATGAAACTTGTCCGCGCCTATGATCGCGCTCACCCTGTATCCTAGATATATCCCCAACCTTAAACCCCTGCATAAACCCCGCCTTGACCCCGCCAAAACCCCGCATTCCTTCCCTACACACACCCCTGTTCCCAGCAAAGCCCTTGCCCCTTGACCTCCCTCTGTCTGATCCACTCTTGCCTCCGTCTCGCCCCCTTCTCCCATCTGTCCTCCGCCACATCCTTGTCCAAGTTCCCTATGTGGCCCCTGTGCATCGCCGGCAATAATGGATCTAATGGCAAGCGCACGACGACGATGGCATGCTGCAACTCAGTACGAGGAGATAAGACAGCTGGTTGGCTACCATGCTGTTCCCTTTGGCCGACACCTTGGACTCGCAAACTTCTGGGGCAGCACCTCTGACAGGGACATCAAGATCAGTCTGCGACCTGCTATCCGGATCAGACCTCAGCACAAGATCCGAGTACTGGACGCATCCTGCTACTGGGACATTCAAGCTGAAGCTCTCGCCATCCACATCACAGACCTGCTGAAGACTGCTTTCTCACTGACACTTCTGCGACACCTTTCAAGACCTGTTCTCAAGACATCTACATGGACTGCTACACAGAACTTTCAACCTGAACCACTAAATCCCCGACCCTCAGCAACCCCGCCCCGTACATCGCAAGCCAAATTTCCTTTTTCTTTGAGGACCACATAACCTGTTTTGCCCTGAACCTCCTAGTCCATCAGTAGAATAACCTTGTTTCCCCGTTGTTTCCAACCCCTCAGTTCATCAGTAGGATTACCCTGTTCCCTGTGCTTCCCAGCCCCCTTAGCACATCAGTAGAAATACCCTGCAAAACCCCTTAGCTCGTTGATAGGATAACCCTGTTCCCTCTTATTCCCCGACCCAGGCCACCCACATTATACCCCTCTTCCTTTTGAAATGTTGACCAGTGATCGGCCCTGTCACGTCCTTCACAGACTTCAGCATTGTTTCATGGCTTTTGGCAGCCGGGACGTTGCCTTCTAGAGGGAGGGGATAGTGTTACGGACTCAGCCAGGGCTCGATCCCTGGTCCGCGGGGTACCACCCGCCAGCCTGCTATTTTATTTTATTTTTATTTACTGCTCTTCGGTTTCTGACTGTTGGCGCCCGTTTTCAAATCCCTCCTTAGGCACTTTCGGATTTTGACAGTTGGCACCATCTGACATTCTGGCGCCCAGACTCAGACTTTCGATTCTCATTTCAGTCCTGGGGCAATGGCACTTCTGCCCTGCGGACTGAACTTGAGTCCGGTACTTAAGACCGGACTCAAGCCCAGTACGGGCATTCAGTTTTCGGCCTCAGTGCTTGTGCTTCAGTGTGACTTGCTTCGACATTGTGTTCGGAAATCCAAGACTGCTACTTTGCGACTTTGCCACTTTGTGTCTGCGTCCGTCGAGTCGTGCCGAGTCTGCATCGAGTTGAGAGAGTGTGTATGTGTGCTCTCACGCTCCCTCTCTCTCTCTGCCTCTGCCTCGTCACAGGATTGGTTGGAGAGAACCAATGGGCCTAGCTCTGTTGGTACACCCATGAACTTCTGAGATTCAGACCTGAGTTCAGATCCAACTGGAAGTGAATAAGTGAATAAGATATTTCTGAACTACCTGGTGCCATCGCCCTTTGGGGAAACAACAAAAAGCAAGAGAAAAGCGAAAAAAAGGACGGACAAAAGGAAAAGAAAAGCAAAATGGTTGGCTGAAGAGCATGCATGAGAGAGGCTGGCACGAGAGAAAATGGGGGGGGGGGGAGGAGGAAGTAGGAAAGGGAGTTTTATATGGGAATGGAAGAGGGGGAGGAGTCATGACAGGATGGGGAATATTATCAATTCGAGGGCAAAGGGCCCAGAGGAAAGCGGGGAATGAACCGTGAAAGGTGGGGGAAGGGAAGGGCGAAAATTTCACCAAAGTGAGTGTGTGTGCACAAGATATATTGTTGCATTGTCCACAGCTACACTGTCACTCTGGCAGTTTCTGCTACTGCAGTTCTCACTACAGCTCCCTCTGCTGAAGTCCGCCGTACTATACTTTTTGCTGCTACAGCTTCCTCTACCGCAGCTCCAGCGCGAAGAACATCAGTCTCTTTGACACTCACGCCCTTTGTTTCCAAATCCTGCCCAATCCACCCCCCTTTCATCTCGTTTTGTGCTTGGCCACAGACGGCGGCGTTCTTCCTCGCCACCACCATCTCCTCCACGATCTCGTGTGCTAACACTCTCCGGTTTCCATTGTTCCCATTGTTCCACCTTTGTTGCCAGGGACATCTTCATCTTATGTTTGCAACACCACTACTCCCCTTATTGTGTATCATCGACGACATCCGCAGCATTGTCAATTGTCCGCGGATCAGCAGCCTGTTTCTTTATCTGGCCAAATTCTCTTTGTGCCTGCTCCAAAGGTTGTTGCGGTTGCTTTGGTCCAAACGACAATATCCACTCCTATGCCTCCGGTCTACGGTCCATCTGCCTGCAGGCAGCCACGCCACCATGTCTTATGCCCTTCAGCGTTAGATGTTCCACCTGTACAATAGGATGTGGTCCTTTCTCAGAGTACACTCCCGATTCCCGGGACAGTCCATGCTCAGGATGCGGCCCCAAACGTTAAGGGATTGGAACATAATCTGCCCAGATTGTAGTTAACCCCACAAGGCGTAGACCACATGGGGGATCTGCAAATGGCTGACCAGCATCGTTTGGACAAACCACAAATTTGTGCCCCTCCACGCGCAGACCAAATGGGTGATCCGCACATGACTGATCGGCAAACAGCCCAAGACATTTTGGGCTTGCAACACGAGCTGGGT